AAAACCTAGGTGGCCCAGGGCACCAAAGAACAGACCTGGGCTTTCACAGTACGACTGCCTCTACCGTTGAGAAGAAAGTGGAGGTGGGGGGAGAGAATCCGTCTATTAAAGGATAAAGAGAAAATGAAGTAGAAAAAATGAAGGGAAGAAAAATGTACTGGAAGAGAGGGAATATATATGGATTTGTGATGTTCAGCAAGAAACTAGATGCTAGATTAAAGCTGGTAACTTGTTTGTGATATAAGAAATCTCATCAAGTTTTGCTTAAATAATTGTTTTCTTTTGAATTCCTGTTTTTACTCGTTCTTCACCTGTTTTTTGCTTATTCTAGCTGTTTTTTGCGCTCTCATAACCAGTTCTGTTGCAAAACGGAGAAGCGACCGTTTTGTGCGGGGAACGAAGTTGGCGGCTAATCCCTTTCAGAGGTTTGCAAGGGCGGGGAGGGGGTCAGTGCGGTTTTTCTTTGCCTTGGTGAGTTTTCATATAACACGAACAAGTTTACCAGCTTTAATCTAGCATCCAGTTTGTTACATGACTATTCAAAATATGGCAGGCAGGAGGCTGCATTGATGATTCCCACTCTTACACGTACGCGCAGTCCATTTTGTTACATGACTATTCAAAACATGGCGGTTAGGAGGCTGTACTGATGATTCCCACTGCTACCCACATGCACTGTTCAGTCTGTGTATACAGCTAAGGGATGAAATACAGACTGCGCCATAAAATGTCTTCATACACACATGACATTCAAGTGAAATCCTTCTATTCTTCTAATTTCTTGCTGAACATCACAAATCCACATAATCCGCCTTGTTGCTTAATAAATCCCCGTTCCTGTCTTCAATTCCTACCTCCAAACGAGATCTTAACCCCTCCCCAGATATTATCCCCCCTCCCCCGCTCTTCCCTCATCTTTTCTACAGCTCCTGGGGTCCGAACAAGTGACCTCGGACTCCCCCCCCTCCTCCCTTGCCCCGCCCACCTCCACCTCATCACCCAGGGGGGGTCGCCCACCTGTAGTCGCAATC